TCTGGTGGCCCTCCTGGTGCTGTGCCTCCTCCTCCTGGCGGTTCGCTGCCAGTCCGTCCAGGGCCGCAGTTCATGTCCTCCAACGCCCCGACGCTGCTGCCCAAGCTCGCCGCCAATGTGTCCCTTGGCGATATCCAGCAGACTATCGAGGCACTCAACAAGATCGGCGACGTCGACGGAGCCAAGGGCTACCAGAGGGTGCTGGAGCAAAGGAAGGCTCAGGCGGCCAGCGCCGCCCAGGAGCCGACACTCCAGCAGCAAGTTTCCAACGCCTTCAACTCAGTCCGCAGTTTGGAGGCGAAGCTTTCCAAAGCGGTTTCACATCATCAGCGACTTCAAGAGCAGCTTCAGTCACAGCTCGACTGGGTGCAGAAGGTCGCTGGAGAGTTGGGCGCTGCGGAGACGGAGCATGCAAGGTTGGTTCGCATTCTCAATGAGAAAACGGGTGGATCTGCTCCACCACCGTCGGTCATCAGCATCGACGACATTACTTCTGGAGCTGTCACGGAGTTACTTATTTCTTTGGGATCGCTGGCTGGAGATCTTTCAGACGAGTATGAGGTTGACGAGGTCACCCAGAAGGAGGCCAAGCAGCGTTTGGAGCACCTTCAGTCGGAGATTCGCGCAGCGGTTGTCAATCTCTTCGGCGAAGCGTCGGACAAGGTCAAGGCCTTCAAGTCAGAACGTTCGGAGCTCATCAATCGTCTTCAGAAGAAGCGTCGACCAGGGGGGTCAGAGGACCCAGTTGTCGTCCCTGGAGGTGAGGGGGGCGCTGCGGATGCAGGTGGGCGCGGCGAACCTCCTGCTCCTGAGAGCGGCGCTGGGTCCAGTGGTGGAACCACGGCCCAGACATGCCCCCCTGCCGACGCAGAGGCGGCGGCCCGCCGTGCCACCCGTGAGGCAGCAGCTGCCATCATTAAGAACAACCCCTAACCCCCCCCCCCCCCCCCCCCCCCCCCCCCCCCCCCCCCCCCCCCCAAGGCGCCGCGAGCGCCTAAAGGCCCGTAGGCGCCCGAGGGGGGGGGGGGCTTTTGTTCCCAGGTTTCACGTACTTCGGCCTAGGGCCAACTATAAATTCGTTTTGGTCCAAGCTCACATGGATTAGGATCTTGGTTCAGGATCTCCTGGGATCGTCTCGGTTAGACACCCGTGCCCAGGGGTCGAGCACCCCCTCCTCTCTTTCGGATCCCCCCCCCTCCTTCTCGCCAGGATTTTAGCCCTGAGTTTTGGGGCGGCCAGCGTTTCAGGGGGGGGGGGGGGGGGCTGGTCAGAAGTACCTTGCGGGTGCTTCTGCTCATGTTGTGTTTATGCAAGAGCGCCGCATTCTGGCTGGGGAGGGGATCCACGATGCTAGTGCCTGGTCGACTCGGCAAGGTTGGCGAGGTATATGGGGCCCTGCGGCCCCTGGGGAAGGTTCTGGGAGTACTGGCGGAGTGGCGATCATCGTGAGAGACTTCCTGGCCTCCACCTCAATCCAGTTCAAGGGGCCCAAGATTCTAGGATAATCTCGGGTATCGTGGGCGTCCCAGGTGGCGCTGAATTCTATGTTACCTCGGTCTACCTTTATGACGGCAGCGGTTTTGACTCCAAGAATCAGCATCTCCTGTCCGACGCGGGAATGGCTGCTTCCAGTTCATGCTTACCGTGGCTCATCGGTGGGGATTTCAACAACCCCCCGTCTGATTTACGCGAGCAGAGTTTTCACAGGCAGAGTGGGGGCATTATTAGGTTTCCAGATTGTTCGGGTACCTGCCTCGCCACGGGGGGATGAGGATGAACGATTACTTTATCGCCAGTCCTGGGCTAAGTTCCGCCGCTCAGGCCTTGGATCGCAATTCCGATGGGGATCTCTCGCCCCATTGGCCCGTCAGGCTCACTCTCTTCCCTCAGGTCGGCAAATTGAGAGCCCTCAATTTGAAGCGACCCGCTCGTTTCCCCGCCGTTCGGATGATCGGTCCTCTGCGCGAGGCCCCTGACTACCATTCTACTCAGGCGCGGATCGCGGAGGCCCTTGAGGCGGCTCATCGTGGCGACGGCCCCGCCACCCAGTCACTCCTCACCTCGTCCTACCAACTCTGGGCGGGCCTGGCGGAAAAGGAGATTGCGGAAGCGGCGGGGGTTGATCTGAAGGGCCCCGGTTCCCGTGGGGCCCCCCCGTCTTTGGTTTGGTCCTCGGTCGCGGCGAAGGACGTGAAGCCTTCCAGACACCCCGAGCTGCTCTCCATCCGATGGCTTTGGAAGGCCACGGGCATGCTCGAGTCTGCCATTCAGCGCCCCGCTCAGGGCGGCCTCTCGAACGCCATATCCTATGGGTTTTCTATCCCCCTGGCTGTCAGCAAGCACGCGGGAGACTACGAGCATCTCTTCCGTGAGTTTTTGAACTGGTGTCACCGCTCCGCTGACGCTATCGGCGCCCTTCGGAAAGGATTAGAGTGCGGCATCAATGTTTTTTTCGGTCCACCGTCCGCGAGGCCCTGGATTCGGCCCTTAAGAGGACTCGGCAGGAGGCTTCGCAGGGATGGAGGGCTTGGCTTTTGAAAGGGATTGACCAAGGAGGGCGAAACGCTCACCTGGCTTCTAAGGCCACCACCCCCTGGCACCCTACCACCGTGCTCTCTTGCGACGGCAAGGTGGTGAGTGACCCCTTAAACATCATGCAGTTCGAAACTTCCAGGTACAAAGGGCTGTGGAGAGCTACCCCCTCCCCCACCCCTTCCCCTGCGGTGTTCACCCCCGCCCCTCCCTTGCCGCCGCTCGAGCTGGATGCGGTTCGAAATCTGTGCCTTCGGCACAAAGAGCGCTCGGCGGTGGTCTCTGACCGTTTTCACATCAGACACATAGGGTGGTTGTCTGATCAAGGTTTGCGGTCGTTTGATGTATCTTATTCCCAATGTTCCCGTGGGTGTCCGTCCGATTGGTGTGTTTTGTGCCCCTTACCGTGTTTGGGCAAAGGCCAGAAGGCCTATTGCCAACGATTGGGGGAAGCGGAACGCTCGACCTTACTTTGCTGCGGGAAGCTTCACGGGTGCTGGGGGTGCCGTGTGGCGTCAGCTGCTTCGAGCCGAGGGCGAAGTTGCTAGAGATCATACGTCAGCCAATCTGCTTCGGGATTTTGTCAAGTATTGCGAAACCCTTCCCCTCGGTCAGTTGCAGCAGAGGTGCCACCAGCACGATTTTCCTTTGGCAGTCAGCAGAGTTGCCATTGCGGCTTGCGCGTCGGCCACGCATGTGTGTCTCCAGGCGATTATATCCGAAGCTGTTTTCGCTCAGTTTAGGGTTGTTGCTGGCTGCAGTATGGCTACCACTATGATACGTATCAACAGTATGGGCCCTCTGGATAAGATCGCCTGGGGTCCGCATGTGGATTTCAAGCTGTACATCGACAATAGTAGTATTGCTGCGGTGGGCACCCACCAAGGAGTTGTGTCAGGAGTTGTTGAAGGAGCTCTAGCCCTTCAGAGTGCTACCGCAGAGATCAGAGCCACTCTCTCGGCCGACAAGGCCATCCTTCTCTGCAGCTCCAAGGCCGTCGGCTTGGAGATCCAGGACTCTCTTGGGATTGAACCTTCAGGACCCCTGGTTAATTCATGTGTTAACTTCGGAGTTGACGATGCCCAGGGGGCCTCTTTCCGTCATCAGGGGAAAAGCGCCAGGACCAAGCGTAGATTGGCCGAGGGTAACGCGAGAAGCCGACGGCTTGACAAGTTCGGGCGAATTTTGAGCAGACAGCGCCTCCGCCGTCGTTGGGTCGCGGGTCCTCTGCGTGTTGCCACGTGCGGACCCGAATGTCATGGGCTCTCCCCATCGGAAGTTCTCGGGCTCAGGCGCAGCCTGGCCCGCCTCATTGAGCCCTCTTGTAGTGGTAGATCGCTTTCGGCCTGATGCCCTTGGAAAGCGACCCCACCTGGCAAGTGCAAGTCTCTGTCATCAGCAGGTGGCATCGTGAACTTTGGGCCTCCTCTAGTAATCTCCACGCTGCCGCGTTCCCGATCCCCTTGCTGCGAAAGTGGTGGGGAAGTGTCTGGGCCCGTCCCCCGCGTTCTTGGAGGGGGGTGAGGGCCCCCCTTTGTCGGGGATGTACCTGGCCCTTGTGGGTCTTGGTTGGGGGATGTCTGAGTTTAACAGGCTGGTTGACGATCTCGGGAACTCTCACGAGCTTTTATTCACCTCTCCCGCCCTCCTTAGGGAAACACCTTCGAGCTGCGGTCCTTAGGGGGCTCGAGCGCTACCTGGCGCACAAGTACTGTTTCGGGCATGGCCGCCTCTGCTACGATGTGGTCTCCTCTTTCTTGGCCTCCTCCAAGTTTACTCCCCTTCAAAAAGGGATTCTGAGGAGCTGTGCGTGCGACGGTATTTGGACTCGAATGAAGGCCCGTGGCTGCGGGCATCAGTTCCCTGCAGAATGCGAGCTGTGCGGCGCGCCCACCGACTCGATTTTCCACCGCCTGTGGATGTGTCCGAAGTTGCAAGCTCTTCGTTCCGAGTTGGTTGGCCAGGAATTCCTGGATTCTCTGTTCGATTACGTCACTTCGTCGGACAAGTTGTTTGTGGTTACCCATGGGGTTCCCCCTCGCCCTGGCGACCTTCACCCTCCTCCTCGACATATGGACGACGATGAGCTTAACATCGCCTGGCATTCGAACCCCCCCCAGGCCAGAATCGTTTGAGGGTGTGGTTTTCGTAGACGACTCGTGTTCGAGAAGAGTCATTAAAGAGCTGTCCAGAGCCTCCTGGGGAGTCGCCCTGTACAGTCCCGACCAGGGGCTGCTTGCCACGGCCTCGGGGCCCGTCTGGGCTCATCTCCCTCAGACGCCCCAGGCTGGAGAGTTTTGTGCCTTTTTGGCGGGGGTCCAATTGATCTCGGGTCCCTCGTCTATTGTTTCCGACTGCGAGAATGTTGTTAATTTTTTGGGGCCGACCGTGCCGGGCAAATCAGTGATGAAGGCGTGTCTTCAGGACATATTTTGCAAGCTAGGGCTGAGCCGGGATTTAAGCATGTTTCGCTTGTTTCGCATGTTTAATCCCACCAATCGGTCGACGACGTTTCGATATCCCCGCAGCTTCGTTTCTGGAGGGGAGGGGGTGGCCAGGCTGATGCCCTGGCCAAGGCCGCACTCGCGAGGCACCCATCAGATTTGAAGCTAGAGGAATCGCTCACCACCGACATCACATTTGCTAGAGCTTATTGTACTCTGGCTATACACCTTCTCCCCCACTACGCTCCCCTGCGTGAGTATGGAGAAGTAGGGTGCGTCCGCCCGCCTAAGCCAGTGAGAGCTGGCAAAGGGATGCATTTCTGGCGACACTTTGGAACTTTTTGGATGTGCCTGCTATGCCTCAAAGTGCAACGCTGCCCCTGGCCTCGTAAGCCCCCCCTGGGGGGCTGCCCAGGCACGAGGGAGCTGCCCCCTGCAACAGATCAGCAGTTTGGGGCACTCCTGCATAGGTTTGGAATGTTCTGACGGGGCTATTTTTATCCTTTGTATTTCTTGCACATCCTACTCTTCTCACGGGAGATTTAGAGGCTTGCTGGTTAATTGCCCGACTCGCCCATCGCTCTTTGGAAGGAGGGTGTTGTCGGAGGTCTCCAAGGGGCGTCACCCCAAAAAACCTTCCGTAGGCGTAGACCTGCCCGATCTCCAGCTCGGACTTATCCCGCCTGCCCCGAGGCCCCTACAGGCATCTCCCCGCCCCTTCGGGGCCCCCGTAGGACACTGATTCTGAGGGGGGGGCCCGCCTGCAGGAGATGGCCTCGGAGCTTCTTTTTGCTTTGCAGAAGCGAGATGCCCATCGAGAGCTGCGACGGGGCAATCCCATTTTCTTGGCGAGGAGGCGCCAGGATCAGTCTGACAGTTCTGATTCGTTTATTTTATTCAGGCTTTCGCCTTCTTTCTTCTTTCCAGCGCGGCCCGATGCGACTGACCCTTCGGCGGGCATCCGTGCTCTACCCCACATCTGGGGCGAGGCCAACAGCCGTCCTGGCGCTCGCTGCACCAGGGGCTGGAGACCTCGTCGTCCTTGTGTGGGTGGTCGACTTATGTTATTTTGTGCTTTGGCCTTCGGCCTTTCTATTTCTCGTTTATGCCTCAGCTCTACATCTGGGGCGAGGCTATGCCGTCCAGGCGCATCCAGCACCTGGGGCAGGCCTCGTCGTCCTTGTGTGGGCCTTTCGTTTTCCGTGTGTGTGCGCTTCGTATTCGCACGTGTGTCAGGCACCCCGCTTCATGGGGGAAGGTGTGCGCACATCCCGAGGGCTTCTTCAGCGGAGCACGGGGGTAGAGTCATCCCGACAGTCGCTCGAATTTGGCGATTGCTGTGGCCAGGTAGCGTCGCTCCTGGCCCCAACGCCTAGGCCCTCCTCATGCTTCGTGTGGCCTCGTGTGTGCACGCGTTCGTCACGCGTACTTGCTCCTCGCCTCAGAGGTATGCGCGACGCTCTCGAGGAGGCGTCTCTTTTCTCGGGAGTACGGGGGCTCCTAGCCCCGTCGGTCTCTCGTCTTTTGGGGTGTTGCAGTGGACTGGAGCTCAGGCTCCTAGCCCCAACGCCGTCGCAGCCCAGCATCCTGGCTGATGTCCGCCCGTCCTCTTGTGCAGTCGAGGGCTGGCGGTTCGTGCTGCTTTTCCACTTGCAGGATCCTGCTGGTGGCCTTGTATCCCCGCCTAACTCTGGCGGGGAAACTTTCTGCAGGCTGTCGCCGCCCCAGTCCCTGCAGAATAACTCGTGGGGGTTGAAGCGAACAAAAAAATCCTCACTGACCATCGCGCGTAAGCTGCCCGCGTAAGGTCGTGCGTGCGCGCCCTCGCTTCGAGTGTGGCGTGCCGCGCTGGCGGCCCGCGTGAGCTGCGGCGTAAGGTCGGTCTGCCATCTCGCGTGAGACCCGTTCTTGATCGTCGCTCGGGTGCGACCGAGTCGCGGCGGGGGGGCCGGATTTTCCCCAAGGGGGTGCAGCAGGTCTTGTCGACTCAGACATGCGATGGCATGCTTTTGCCAGAGCGCTGTCCCTGAAAGCCCCAACCCTTCCTCCAGGGCAGGTGTTGTTTTCAGACGGTTGTTTTCAGACGGTCCCCGGGCCCGGCGAGGGCCCCCGCTGGTCGAAAACAGCGAACAATCGACCTGGTGTTTCTCTTACCTCCGACGCGAGTATTTCTGGGCAGGAGGTCTCGGCCTCCTCGGCTTCGGCCGCGTGGGGCGAGCAGAAGCAGCCGGGCGAGCAGCCGCAGGCCCTTCGCACGCCGGTGTGGCCGACGGTGCCCGAGCTGGCCGGGGACCCGAGCGGCCTGAGGGGCTGGCAGTTCGGGGGCAGGGGGCGTCCAGCGGCGTGCAAGGACTGCGGCCGATCCTCGATCGACGACCCTCGAGGGGTGGTCGTCGATCGATTGATCTCGATCGGCGACCCTCGATCGGCGACCCTCGATGGCCGATCCTCGATTCTCGAATCCAGAAAGCCGATCCTCGTTTGCCGGGCTTCGATCGACCGACGACTGACGGCAATCGAGGCGCAAACAGAAGACGCGAGCACAATCTTGCAGAGCTGGGCTGGGACCCCCCCGCCCTTGCGCGCGGAGGCGCCGCCAGGGGGCTCCAGCGCCGATCCAAGAAACCCGCGCGGCGCTCCGAATGGTTCAGCTTTCTGCTGTTATTTTTCTCCTTCGGAGCGCGGCGGGCACGCGCGAGGAGCAGTTGCGGAGCTGGGGCGGGTGCCCTGGGGGCCCCGGGGAGGAGCGGCGGCGAGTCCGCCGCACACTGGCGACGGGGAGAGGGGAAGGAGACGCAGGGAGCGGGTTGGCGCTCTGCGCTTTCTGAAGCCAGCCGGAGCCTTACGGCGAGTACGGCCAGGCCGCGGAGGAGCAGCTCGGCGGGGACCGGCCTTTCGGCAGGCGGCGGGGGCTGAGCAGGTCGGCGGGGGCCGAGGTGAGGTGCCCTGGCCAGGTGGAGGCCTGCGCAGGTCGGGGCGACTTGGGCTGCCTTTGCCCCGCGTTCGAGCAGCACGAGCGAGACCCGTCCTCATCCTGCCCCTTCCCCCCCATACACGCTGGTCATTGAAACTCTTTTTTTTGGGGGGGGCTCCCAGACATTCTTCGGGCTGGCCCGAGTCCAATCTACTTTAGCCGCCTTCCTACTTCATGTCTCCGCCTCCTTCTTCCGACTGGCGGGTAGTCCAGAGGAGGAACAGGTACCCTAACCGCTACCCTTGTCTCGTTTTCGTTTTTTTGGGTCTCCTGAGAGGCCCTCATCGTCACGCCTTTCGAAATTCGAGTCAGAACGCACCCGGGGAGAGGCCCCGGAAGTAGCGGTATCGGATATAGCTAATCTTTGATATCTGCAGTGCTGATGCACGTTCGCAGCCACTTTACCGAATTGGCTCCAGAGCTCGAGCGTGGCCCAGAGAGGGCAGATCGGGTAATCAGCACCGCCGTTTTGAAGCTTTCGTCGAGCACCAGTTGCTGGAGTGAGCCTTGACCCTCCCTGCGGCGCAGGAAACAACAGCATGGTGCTGGAACTAGCTGCTTTTACCCGTTCCCTCCCTCTTTCCCCCTCTCGTCCTCCCTCTTTCCCTTTTGCTGTCGTTCTCGTCCCCTCTCCCCTCTCTCGTTCCCCCCCCCACCCCCTCCGCAGGTGACCGACTACAGGTACGTCGGCGAAGGCCGCTGGGCCAGCCCTCCCCAGCGGCGCCCGTCTCTCGGGCGGCCTGGGGGGAGGAGGGGAGGGGAGGGGAGGGGAGGGGAAGAGAGGGGAGGGGAGGGGAGGGAGGAGGGAGGAGGGAGGAGGGAGGAGGGAGGAGGGAGGGGAGGGGAGGAGGGAGGAGGGAGGAGGGAGGAGGGAGGGGAGACGCAGAGGCAGGAGGAGGGGAGGGAGGAGGAGGAGGAGGAGGGGAGGAGGAGGGTGGAGGAGAGGGAGGAGGAGGAGGGAGGAGGGAGGAGGGAGGAGGAGGAGGGAGGAGGGAGGAGGGGGAGGCGGAGGGGGAGGGAGGAGGGGGGGGGAGGAGGGAGGAGGGAGGAGGGCGGAGGGAGGAGGGAGGGGGGAGGGAGGAGGAGAAGGAAGCGGGGGAGGAGGAGTTAGAGGAAGAGGAGGAGGAGGGCGGAAGAGGGCGGAGGAAATGGCAGGTGAGGCTGTGAAGGCGGAGGAGGATGAGGAAGAGGAGGAGGAGGAGGAGGAGGGGGAGGAGGAGGAGGAGGAACAGGAGGAGGAGGACCAATGTAAACCCAAGACGCGTTCACGCTGGTGCAATACACACTTCCTCCAAGTTTTAAATCAACCCTCCTTGGTTGCGGATTCGTTGGAATAGAGCACTATGGTCTCCACGTCCTCCTTTTCCTCCTCCCGCCTGTCTCCTCCTCCCTCCTCCTGCCCTTGCCTCTTGCTTATTTCCAGCCCTCTTTTGGTTGGGTATTCGTTTTTACTTGAATAGAGCACTGCTCGCGCGTCTTTCTCTCTCTCTCTCTCTCTCTCTTCTTGTTCTCTCTCTCTCTTTTTCTTGGCATCTTTCGTACTTGCCTTTCACTTCGCCATCCCTGGGGGGGATGCGATCCCTGGGGTGCTGCGATCTGCGAAACTGTCGCCAATTTCGAGGCCTGCTGGGGGGGCCAGCACAGTGGGCACTCGCCGCAGATTTAGATTAGACCTCGCCATTCCTTGGGGGCTGCGATCTGCGAAATTGCCGTCGCCACTTTCGAGGGCTGCTGGGGGGGCCAGCATAGTGGATATTCGCTGCATATTCAGATTAGACCTCGCCATCCCTGGGGGGCTGCGATCTGCGAAACTGTCGCCAATTTCGAGGCCTGCTGGGAGGGCCGGCGCAGTTGGTACTCGCAGCAGACTCAGATTAGACCTCGCCATTCCTGGGGGGCTGCGATCAGAGAAAATGTCGCCACTTTCGAGGGCTGCTGGGGGGGCCAGCATAGTGGGTACTCGCCGCCAATCCGTTCTTCACGCGTTCCAAACTGACTTCACCTTGTTCTCGAAGGACCCCTCGCCGACAAATATATCGACCTTGGGCGTCTGGGACTATGCGCGTCTGAAGTTGACCATGAGATCCTCGCCGTCCGAAGAGCCAACGTAATGTCGCCCCTTGTCTCTGGAATTTTTGCCCTTTTCCTCCAGGCCGGTGAGCGTTTCTTCAGAGGGCAATCGCTCCCTGACGAAACTCGCCAAGCCTATGTCGCCGAGACGAGTTTTGGAGATCATAGCCCAGCACGTCTTTCTTGGTATCCTTGGCCGAGGTAGCGGAGGTGACCGAAGCAATGGCTTGCGCCAGCGCTTGGCCGCCACCTGGACCCGCGTTCGTTGTCCCTGCCGAAGTGTCGACGGTGTTTTTGGCTTTGCCCTGCACCCGCAGGCACAGGCTGAGGTAAGCCGGGTTGACCACTTGAGCGTGCCAAGGCCCCTCCCCGTCTTCTTGCAAAGGGACGGCGCCCAACTGGACAATTTGGAGGACGATCGTCCGCACGTGGGGGTCGGCATACGTCACGGGCGCGAGAATCCGCGCCACGAGCCCGTACAAGATGAGCGGGTGCGAGTCCTTCGGATTTTCGTCTACAGACGTGACGGACCGATCCGCTCTGCGATCTTCATCTGAGCTGCCCCCAGGGAAGGCTCCTCTGGTGCTGCTGCAGCCATGGCGTTGGTCTCGCTATTCTCGGAAGACATGGTCACCCTCAGATGTTGGGCGGCGCAAAAGCGAGGAAATACCTACGGTCTTGTGGGCGGCAGACGCGGCGAAAACTCTTGGGGTCAAAATGCTTCCGGAGCGACTTGGGCGATGATTTTGTTTTGCCTGGCGCGGCTGCAATTGTCCGCCTCTCTTGTCGCGGCTCCTTTGGAATTGCGCGACGCGTTGGGGCCCGAGATTTCAGCCTCTGCCGCCTCGCCTTCAACCTTGAACGCCCTGGGGCCCGAATCATTCAACCTACTCGCCCACTGGCCCCCAGAGGCTCGCCCAGATGACTCCGTTGCCTGAAGCAGGGCCGCAGCGGCTGGACTCGCGCATCGCTTTCGGCGCGGCTGGACTGGCGCACCTTCTCCACTGGTGCCCGAGCCTTCAACCTGTCACGCCTGGCCAGCCCCAAGGGGGCTAGCGCGGAGGGGTGAACGATGCGAACGGTGAGACACTATAGGCTGTTTAGTACACAACGAGGCCCCTCCTGTTCCCTATCCCCCCCCGCGGCCTGAGTGCACCATCCAGGCCCGCGGAGGACGTCATATGAGACAGGGACCTTAAATCGACGGGAGTGGAGCAGCCTGAGGAGGCTCCGACCGGGCGTGTGAGGAGAAAAAATCACGAAGCCTTTTTGGGCGGTCCGATGCTGCGCGCTGCACGCGGTCCGAAGACCGCGCCGAACGGCCGCCGGATATAGTTTTTTTTGTGTGTGTGAGAGCCGTGTTTCGGCTGGTTTTGCGGGCTCGCGCTCGTTCGTTCGCCAGTGGGCGATGGGGCTTTCGCGCCCGTTGAATTCACTCCCGCAGCGCTGTCTCCGATATGCACCATGCTGCGCTCTGTCGAGGGCATACATTTTTGGAATGCCCTTCTCTCTACCTGTAGCGCAGGCTCCACACTCGTTGTGCGCCGCCCGACGATTCTGATTCTCAGAACACGCGTGCGCGCCAGCACGCGGGGGGGGGTGATCCAGTTTTGGATCCCCCTTTGTGGTTGTCTCGCCAACATTCGTATCGGTGGCTTTCGGGGCTGCCGCTTTTTGGGCTGCCCCCCTTTGCCGCGCCAGGGCCCAGGGCGGGGCATCCAAAATTGGATGCCCCCTCTTCCCCGCAAGCTTGCCTTCCCACCGAAAGTAGATCCCCCTTCTTCCCGTAGAGGCTTCAGGAATTCGGTTACCGTGCTGCCAGAGTTTGGCCAAGTGCACCAGAGTTCAGTGATCGCTGCCGATCGGCGAGAATGCGAAAATCAAATAATCAATGTTGTCGCGAGGCAAGACCCGCGCAATGCTGGTAACCCAAAATTGGGTTACCCCTTTCCCGCTGCAGATTCGACCTGTTGCCGCGGAGCTCGGTGTTGCATCAGTCTGGGCGAATGCCACGGAGTACTTCAAAATACTCTGGGGCGCCGGGGCGGCTGTGGTTGGCTTGCATCGGCCGTCCGGCCGGCCGCAAGGTTCCTCCAAGAAACCTTGCAGCCCCTGGCGATTACCGGCGAATCGTCGAGCCCGAAGTGCACGCCTGCCTTTGGACTGCTTTCTTGGCTGCCTCTCTGGCTGCCTCCTCGGCTGCTCTCTCGCGGCTTCAAGGGTGCCTCGTGTCTGCCACTTGGCTGCCTCCTTGGTTGCCTCGCGGCTGCCTTCTTGGCTGCCTCGTGGCCACCTTCTTGGCTGCCTCTTGGCAGCCTTCTTGGAGGCCTCTTGGCTGCCTTCCGTTTCTCCTCCTCTTGTTGCCTTCCAGACTTCTTCTTGGCTCTCTCTTGCTGCTCTCTGGCTGTTCTCTTGGCTGCCTGTCTGACTGCGCTTTTGGCTGCCATTGTCTGTTTCTTGGCTGCCATTCCGGCTGCCTTTGTGCTGCAATTTGGCTGCGTTCTTGGCTGCCGTCTCGGCTGCCGTCTCGGCTGCCGTCTCGGCTGCAGTCTCGGCTGCCTCTCTGGCTGCCTTCTTGGTTGCTTCTGGACTGGCTTTTTGGCTTTCTCTCCGGCTGCCGTCTTGGCTGCTTCTCTGGCTGCGTTCTTGGATGCTTCCTGGTTGTCTTCCTGGTTGCCTTCTCTGGCTGCCTTCTTGGTGCCTCTAGCTGCCTTCTGGTTGCCTCTGGCTGCCATCTTGGTGGCCTCTCCGGCTGCCTTTTGGCTGTCTCTTGCCTTCTTGGCTGCCCTCTTGTCTGCTTTCTTGGCTGCCTTCTTGGCTGCTTCCCCAGTGGCTTTCTGAGCTGCTTCTCGGCTGCGTTCTCGGCTGCCTCTCCGGCTGCCTCTTGGCTGCCTCTTTGGTTCTCTTGCTGGCTGCCTGTCCTGGCTGCATGTCTGACTGCAGTTGGCTGCCCCTTGGCCTCCTTCAGGGCTGATCGGCGCCGTGGTCCACATGGACTGAAGGTTCGCGCGACAGCGCGAGCAGACGGGAATGCCCTGAAGGATTCCAGCTTATTGCGGGGGTTTGCTTGCAGTGACCCCTAGGTCTGCTTGCAGTGACTCAGATGCCCGACAGGATACTGCCAGCCTGAATGGACGGACACTGCGCGACAGCGCGAGAGGACGGGGAATGCCCCGGAGTACCCCAGCGCACTACGGGGGTTTGTTTGCAGTGACCCCTGGGTTTGCTTGCAGTAACCCAAATGCCCGACAGGGCACTGCCAGCCCGAACGGATCGACACCGCGCGACGGCGCGAGAGAGAGAGAGAGAGAGGACGGGGAAGACGCCCGCTAGGGCCCTGCCAACACGACTGGGGTTCTCGCGTCGCTGGTACTCTGTACCCCGCCCCGGACGCGGGCGGCGCGACACGGCACCACACACGGTGCGGGTCACGGCGCGGTGCGCGGCACGGCACGCGGCACGGCGGACGGCACCGCACACGGCACGGCGCCGATGTACGAGGTGTCGGCGCCCACGTATGCGCCGTTGCGGCGCTCCTCGGGGGAGGGGGGCGCTCCCTGGGCGCCAACGGGAACCCCGCCGCGACCCCCGCTCAGCCGAGTTCGTCGCGTCGGCGAAGGGCGAC